CTCGACAAGTCTGGTCGCAGAACCCGACCTCTTTTAGTTAAAGCCTTGGATTAAGTGAGTCGGTTGGCGACTCAGTGAGTAATTGAATTGAAAATTTAATTGGATTAATATGACACAATGACAATACGACATAGTGATAAACAATTAAAAATTCATGAACAACATTCAAGAATCTAAAAAAATAAACGGCTGAAGATAAACAATTAAACAATTACACAATTAAACATAACATGAATCTCAAAATTTGATAATACATTCAACTGATTCAAGTATGTAATTGAATTGAAAATTATAATTTACAAACTCATAATCCTTAATTCCTTATTCCTCATTCCTTAATCTCTCATAATCTATTACATTCACAGGACCAAGAATGAAGAATCATTTTCATTGATAAAGTGATAACAGTAATACATGATAAATGATAAATGGATAATCGTATAATTGTCTAAGACTCTAATCGACCCTCACCTAGAACATGTTGTATCTATATTCAATGGAGGATAGATGATTATTCAATTCGATGAATGATAATCGTTGATTGATGCACGTTGTGCCGATGTCGCTGATGCACTGCCCTTTCGTTTCCCTGCCCTGATTCCACTGATTTGTATTTGTTGATTGATTCAATCGACTTTTTGTTATAACTAAAACGAATAAGATGAATCGATGATGTATTGAATGAATGATCGATCGCTACTGTCTTCACTAATTCGCTTTGATGTTGATTTCCGAATCCAAAATTCTAATGATGTTGGATGGATTGTTTGGGGCTGAAGTGTTGAACTGATATACTACTAAAAAAAATTGGACCCCTTCAAATATTGGGCCCTGTTCCATTGCCCATGTGGCACCTACCCTAAACTAGACCTGCTTCAGAAACTTCCAAAATGTTGAGTCGTTTTAATGAAGTACAATGTCATTTTGGGACTCTAGGAGAAAAACACGATCTTGTAACGGGAAGCATAGTTGTGTAATCATGTTGTGGATTGCCTGAGATGCTTCAAAGGTTGTATAACACTTGTGGTAGTCTTACACGATCATGTAATCTTGGCGTGGTTTTATGCATGAGTAAATGGTCCATAACTTCTCTTACATGGTCATGTAATAGGGTCACACAACCGTGTAAAGGCTTTTCCATGTGTTTCATGCATAAATCTTAAGTTTTAGCTGCTTCCATCCAATGCCCATCTTTTATTAGTATTCAACTCCAATTATGCTTCAATGCTTCCTTAAGTGCATCCTCAAATCTCAATGTTCTCGTACCGATCCAATTTACCCTGAAAATTATATTAAAAGTGAATAGTAGTACATTCTGCAAAGAAAACTGAGACATACACAATTTACTGAAAACACAAGGGAAACCGCCATTAAATGATAAGCTAGAAGTAATAAAAAAAAAACATGCTAAAAGATGCATAACAATTGCATCTAACACATATCTTTCACATATATTATCAAGTCGCCACACCCTTAACACCCCGCTCCCGAGTTGAATCAAAGAAAAGAAGAGAAAAGAAAAGGAAGTAAGGAGAGAAAAGAAGAGAAAAGAAAGGAAAACAAATTTGTCTTTTGTGCTCTTGAGTTGGAAAGAAACGGAAGGAAAGTTAAACATTTTATTCTTTCTTTTCAAATCCTCCCAAATCAGAAGGAAAGTTAGGAGGGAAAGTGATCCTTCCACTTCTTTCCTTTAATGAAACTCGTGAGCATCAATCTCTCTTACTTTCCTCTCATTTTCACTAATTTCTTTTCTTTTCTCTCCTTAAGTTGAACTCAGGAGCCGGGTGTAATGGTTTATACTTAACATGTGATTTTTTTTCGAACGTTGTCATTAATGAAGTCTTCGATTCACTCTAAACCGTATAATTGTCTCTTGTAAAAATAGTTCACATTTACCACACAATTAAACAAAAATATAACTTTTGTTTACAAGTAACTTATTCAAAATTTTAAAAGTACTTGTTTACTCATCATGTTTAACGAAACCAACTTCACATTTCTTTCAGAAAATAATGTTTAGATTTCTATAAGAAAATAAAGGAAAATCTTATAATACTTAAAGTTAATGGCCCGATAATGGTTTTAGTTAAGTAGCAACATCATATCACATTGTGAATTTAAGGGCCACATGTTTTTGTTTAATTTGTTTTTATCATTATCTATTAACAAATGGCCAAAACTGTCACTAAGAATGAATAAAGCAATTTCTTCTTTCATACAGATTTAACTCTAATTGAATGAAATAACATATTTAATAGTTATATGAAAGAAAAAGTTGAATCGTATGAGTATGCAACCACTCATGTCACATTGATTTAAAATAGGAATTTAAATAGAAAAGTTTGTAATGATTCATCTCATATTGATTATGCTAGAAATCATCTCGCATTGATATAAAATAAGAATATATATATATATATATATATATATATATATATATATATATATATATATATATATATATATATATATATATATATATATATATATATAAAATAAAATGATCAATTATCTCAAACTCTTGGAAACTTTAAGGAAACCTTTTATATATATATATATATATATATATATATATATATATATATATATATATATATATATATATATATAAAAGGTTTCCTTAAAGTTTCCAAGAGTTTGAGATAATTGGTCATTTTATTTTGCCTATTAATTATTTTGGAATTTCTTTTTTTTTTTTTTTTTTTTTTAACTAAAGGGTTTGACATAACTGGTCATTCTATTTTGCCTATTAACCATTTTGGAACTTTTTTTTTTACGGGTTTTTTTTAACTAAATAAAGTTTAATACATATCGATGGAATTGCCCGGTTTTTTCTTGAAGTTGCAATTTCATCCATTTTTATGTTATTTGTATTGGGTCGGTCATTCCTTCTTGATCCTTTTGCACCGCCATTTTTTTCTGATCCATTTACTAATTCCATCGCTTTGAACCTACTACACGTCCGTTCAGGTCCAAAGCTACCATCTACATGGTGTTTTTTCCTCTGAGCTTCTATTGCCCATGCAGGAGCTAACACCGACAATATGTTAGCGATTGAATCGTCTCGCTGTTGCCACCATCAACATCTGTCGCCGCCTCCATCTATCTATCAACAGCACCTAATTATATTGGTTACGAATCAGACCCTAAGAACTTGAAGGGGGCGTTGTTCACTGTGGTTTCACATGCTACGTAGGCTGAAACCGCACTCTACTTCCTCTGGTCTCAGCCCTTTTATCTACTATATAAGTTCGTTTACAGTTACTTTAAGACATAAAAAATAACCTTATTTTCGAAATATTGGAATACTGGATTAGTCGGTATACGAAAGTTGGTTTGGAAATCCACGTTAGGGAATTAGTTCACTTTACAAAAATAAAAATTAAAAAATAATCAATTTAGAGTACCATTTTGTGCATTATTTCGTCGGGTTTTTCCGCTACTTTTAATAGAAAAGTTTGTAATAATTCATCGTTCATCTCATATTGATTAATACTCAAAAATTTAAGCAGTTGACTAATAAGCTATCGATTAAACGTGCTATTGGAAAATAGATCGGAGTCCGTACCGATATTATGTTTCAGACTTTCGTTGGTTAGTCAACTATGTTGGCCAATGGTTTTTTGAACATAGGTTAAAGGAAAACTATAAATCCAAATGGAAACAATTAGTGTGCTTAACCTTGATAAGCTAATAACTATAAATTTAAACTTTCTCCAATTATCGATCTGAACAAGTTTAATAATATAATAAGAGTGTTTTTGTTCCTTTCTATTTAAGGTGTTAAACAATTTTTGATAAAAGTGTTTGATGACTTATGTGACGACAAAAGTTTATAAAATTATTTGATTTAGGATGGAGAGAAACTATACGTTGATAATCTTATGAAAATATTTTGATTAACTTATAGTCGTTATATAGTAATTTTAGATGAAGAATCTACTCTAATAAATAAATGTATTTTTGTCACATGTCACACTCTCATTTAATTTGTCAAATATTATTTTATGTAGGGGTGAAATTGGTACGGTACCAATTCATTTTTTTTAAAATCGTGTACCGTACCAACTATAATTGACATAAAAAAATTATTATCGGTACCGTACCAAGTATAATTGGTACCAATTTATTTGACTACCAACAAGTTTGGTTGATACAAATTGGTAATGGTATATACCAATTTCTTTTAATTTTATATTCTAAGATTTAAAAATAAGCAACGACATCAGGATTTTGATATGTAGTGTAGAAATTAGTTACATAATTATTTTAGTTTACAAAAGAATTCTAGTAAAGTAACGCTGAAGTAACATTTTAATATTGTGCTTTAACGTGGTAATAACTATTGACTAATACGACCAAATGAATAATATAATGTTATTAAAATTGTAAACACTAAATACAATTAACAGTTGATATATATATATATATATATATATATATATATATATATATATATATATATATATATATATATATATATATATCAAATGAATTGGTTGGTACATATTACCATAGTATTCCAATTTTTATACCATTACCGTACCAACATTGATCAATTGGTACGATACTACCAATCAAACTTGTTGGCTACCAAATATATTGGCTACCAAGTTTTTTGGTTTGATTGGTAACATGTTGGTTGGTTTTCCATGGTATAATTTTACCAGCTCTAATTTTATGGCTATTTTGAATTAATTTTTTTCCACATGTTATTTTATAATTTTTTTCTATATTTTTAAATTATACATACTATTTTAATATAATAATTACAATAAATATAGTAATAAATAGATATCAATTTTATTAATGAACTCTAAAATTTTCAAAATTAAAACTCATTAGTTCTTTTATTTATTTATTTAAATTATTTGTTTAAATTTAAAAAGATAAAATACATTTTCATTATAATAATTCATTATTTTTCTTCTTTTAGTATAAATTCAAATTCTCAAATATATCTTTAAATATTTATATTTAATTGTTTTTTAAAATTAACCATGTATTATATTGGTAACATAACAATTGTTTTAACATTTTTCAAAAAATTTCATTCGAATGTTTTCAAAACCATTTTTCTATTTTTCAAACGGTTTAAGCATATGACTTCTTATCAAGCGAACAAGTCCAAACACCCCTTTTGTGTTCCCTTTCAAACAAGCTGACCGGAATAGCGGCCCTCACTTGTTGCCTGATGCGCCGAATCACCACTAACAACCGTCCGAATCAGGTACGCCTCCCCTCTCCCTCTCTTCTCAGCCGGAAAGCCCTACCACCCTCCGCAGACCACAGCCACCAGAGCATTCCTTAGCCAGTCACTCCATCACCATTGTCAACCTCAGTTGTCCCCATTCCAACATTGAGAATCACCGTTCTCCATCACCAGGAATCGAATTCTATCTCCTCATCTCTAGTCTTCCTTCATCTCCAACCCATCTCCCTGGTATCCCTCTCCTTCTTACCGCTTATCCCTCTACAACTACTACCGCCGGTAAACCACAACGCCGCCATTATACCCTGCTACTTCGAAAATCCAGTGCGCCGACCACCTGTCACCATTGCGACCCAGATACCCCTCCTCCCCTTCACGACAGAACCATCGTCACCCACGCATTCCCCCCTCCCCTTGCCACCGATGGCCAGAAGCCTCACCCCTTAGCTGATGACGATTCCCAGCCCCTCCACTCTGTTCGCGATTGAAAGCCAAACCACTACCCATCCCCGCCGCTTTTAACCACAGCGATATAACCCCCAGACCATTGAACACCTCACCCAATCCCCCATTTCACCGGAAAACCCACGAGTCTTCCCCATGCTGCAGTACTCATGCAGAACCCCATTTCAATCAATGACCCCAATCATAACCTCCCCCTGATCTGAATTGATTTGTTTTTATGTGCATTTTGCAGGTTTTTGGACACATAGGAACAGTTTTTCGAGCTTAAACAAGTATTTGGGAGGATCAAACCTCAATTTCAAGTACACTTACGTATCCAATTCTTGTCTAATGCTTTTGATAATGTTACTGAGAATAATTTCCCATGCTCGATGTCCAGCATTGGAGCATACATCTGTTTTCGATGTCCAGCATTGGAGAAGTGTCATCTGTGTGCGGATTTAGTAATATGTTTCTCTCATTGCAAGCAGAAGTTGGAGCTTTACTTGTTGTGTATACTGTTTAGTGTTTAGTATGTCCTGATTGGGAAAACACAAGTTAAGAAGAAGAAGCAGTGGACACAAATACAATCAGCACCTGAATCGAAATGGCACTTTGAGGAAAAATTAAGCAATGCAAAAGTGATTGCCTACAAGACAAACTTGTCAAATGATTTCATGGTTTCAACTTACGCTGACTAGGCTACATGCATCAAAGAGGGCTCCTATGCAACCAGCATTTTATAGTGTGTGTGAAGAAGCAGCCTTTATCACGAATAAGATGTTGGATTTTATGATGAGAAGACATAGTCATAGACAGTCCTATTAGATAGAGTATGTTGTGTTAAGAATAAAAAAAATACCATTGGCAGGCATGTTTACCTCTCTTTTCATTTGTTTACACACACAAAATATGTAGTTAACCGGCGAAATGAGTATATGTAATAATACTTGTTAAATTGAACAAAGTTACGATACACTCTTAGACAATGCAAGAAATAGCAATATACTATCATTGATTAATCTGTGATAGCATCTTACTTTCATTTCTTTTCAGTTACTAAATCTACCCAATTATAGCAATGTGGTATGCATACAAAGGAGCTTTTATTGCTATAATTGGGAGAGGGAAGGAGAGGATGTATGAATGTGAAAAGATCAAAATGACCTCATGAGACTTGCACATGAGGGTGGTTGACTGTGTCAAGATGGGTGGACCAAACTTGCTAATTTAATATGAAATAAGGACCAAACTTGCAACAAACAAGATAGTTAAATCGACCAAATGTTAGGGACCAAAAATGTAATTTACTCAAACCATAATTTAAGAATTATTTTACTCAAAGTATTCGTGAACTCATCTGGCACCAAATTTGAACACACCGAGTTGTATTTATGCATTTATTACATTAAAAAAACAAATCGATGTTGCCTAAGTTGAGAAAAATTGTGCCATAGCCCTCCCAAAATTGCGGCTGCTAGTTAGCACTATTGCTCATAGGGATTAGGTAATTTAATGTAAACTAATAAGTTATTATTTAATACACCAAATTTGGTGTTTTTATTTCAACATTGTACATGCCCATGCCTTGATCATCTTGCCAACTAGTAGAGCCATAAAGGTGCACTGGGCCTGACAAAAAGGGTCCGCGCCCAACCTGAGACCGATTAACACAAATAAATGTTTTGATCTTTGAAAGGTTGATTGGTTATGATATTTCAAAAATAGACTGATCATTTATGGTGTAAAAAAGTCCAACTAAGTTAAGGACTAACCAGATGTGTAGTTATTTCTTTTATCTTTTCATGAAATTTTTAATTTTATTTTTTGTAACGACTATATGGCCATTCTGGGGCATTTTTGTTACCTTTTTTGACCACATGCCCCCTCTAGTATATCTTAAAAGGGCTAATGTCATAAAAATCCTTACATTTTCAGCATTTTGTCGGTTTTGTCCAAAGTTGGATTTTATGTTCGTTTATGCCTCAAACTTGCATTAATTTGTTCACTTTTACCCTCTAGCTGGTTTTTACCTTCAATAGCAGGTGACCCCTTAAGCTGATTGGACGAAGTTGCTGAGTTGGAAGCCAAGTCAGCATTGCTGACTTTTGTCTTCAAGTGAAAAAGGTGAAAGAATTAATGGGAGCAAGGGATTCAAACCCAAGTCCCACACGAATAGAAGAGCTTTTTCCACCAAGCTGATATAATATTTGTGAACTGATTTACAATATATCCTATTTAATATGTATTCGTCTGGAACTTTTAAATAATAACTATTATTATTATTATTATTATTATTATTATTATTATTATTATTATTACTACAATTTTTCTAACGTGTTTATATATTTAAAATTGTAATTTTTTATTTTTAAAAACATATTTATAACGTAGAAAACGTATTTTAACGTATTTATTAGGTATGTATGTATTTATTTTTCATAAAAACATATTGATGCATTTTTATATGTATGAAAAAAATTTATACGTTTAAATATGTATAACAACGTTATTTATATGTATAAATAAAAGCATATCGATGTATTTTTATATGAATGAAAAACATATATAAACGTATAAATACGTTTTTTATAAATAAAAAAACGCATCAATATGCTTGTATATGTAATTATATGTATACATTACACAACAAGGAAAAAGGCCATTACCGGCGACAAAAGTCGCCGGTAAAAGTCCCAAATGTCGCCGGTAATGATAATAGCGGCGACGCGTCGCCGGCAATGAGTCGCCGGTACTGACTCGTCGCTATTGATCAACTTGTCGCCGCTAAAGATAATAGTCGCCGCTATTAGTATGTCGCCGCTACTGACAATTGTCGCCGCTAATAATATTGTCGCCGGTAATGACATATGTCGCCGCTAATAGTGTCGCCGGGAAAAGTTGTCGCCGGTAATGATAACTGTCGCCGGTAAAAGTGTCGCCGGTAATTTGTTTTTCAATTTTTTTTTTTAAATAACGATTTTCGTTGCCGGTGATAATATCGCAGATAAAAGTGTTGCCGATGATAATATCGCAGGTAAAAGTGTCGCCGGTAATAACAATATTCAATTAAATATCAAAACCAATAGTGTCGACGCTAATTACAAAACAAACATCCTATTAAATATCAAACATAATAGTGTCAAACAAACATCCAATATACAATTAAATATCAAAAGTCATACTATCCGAGTAGCAAAACAACAACATATGCAAATAAAACCCATTCTTTACATACCCTCATCGTTGTTCCCATCGTTTCCTTGATTGTTTTGGGATTGAAAAAACGAATAAAGCTCATCCCTACATGCCGGGTCGGCGAGCATTGCACGAAGATTTTCCAACTACATAATTAATAACAATATATATAAAATTATAAGTTAGATCGTCAAACATAAACAAAGTACATTGCTATATTTTCCAACTACATAATTAATAACATAAACTATCAAAATACATTGTTATTTTTAAAGTAAGATAGAAAACCAAAGTACATTGCTATATTTTGCACTTGGGACAAAAACTAAATTACCAAACTTTTTAGCAAATAACCACCACAAAACCAAAACTACCAAATCAACATGCATTTTACGATGCTAAAGTAGATTGCTATTTTACCTGTGATGGTTGTGATGGTGGTTGTGATGGTTGCGAAGGCTGTGGAATCGTCGGGAGACCAGAAGGTTTGCGGCCAATGCCTCTAATGTGGCCACGTCGCTCTCCTAATACTTTCTCGAACGTAGCTCTTTCTTGAGTTGGCGTAAACTCACTTTCACCTTGAGTTTGTTCTAGCAGCTCTTCAACTAACCGATTCTGTAACTCCCAAAAGTGAGTAACAATTAAGTATAAATAAACATTTAAATATATGATAAAATTATAATTAAATACTTACATATTGTTGTTCCGATTCAGCAGTAACAAATACACCATTCTTATCGGTGTGAGCTTTGCGAAATGTTTCCACTCTCTTAAGGTTCTGTTTAAGTTTAAAAATTAGATTATATTTTAAATAAATAATTACATGTATCGTACGGTACCTTCTTATAGCAAGTACTGCTATACGAGCTCGAACCCCCACGATTCACAGTTGTTTGCTTTTCACGGATTTTTTTGTTCCTTTCTGAAGCAATTTTGTGTTCGTCAGTTTGAAAATACTCAACTGTCTTCTCCCAGTTATCAACAAGCATACCATCCGGAGGATTTGCCAATGCTCTCGGGATATCTTCATACCCTCCGACCATGTTGAAATATTCTTTTGCGTCGGCTTTACGCTCTCGAAAACCTCTTAACAAGGCTGCTTGAAAACTCTCTGTCAATAAAGTAGCTTGTGCATCCTGGTACATTTGATTGAGATCAAACTTTGTCTACAATTAAAAAAAAAAGTTAACCAAGTAAGAAACAATTATAGTTAAACCTATAAAATATATTTAAATAAATAATTACCGCTAAATGTTGTAATACAGTTTCCTTTATTTCAGGGGAAACTCTTTTCCAACTCCATTTGTCGAAAGGGACCATCTGCCACATTGTTTTCCCAACTTCTCGGGAAAACATGTCTCCCGCCTCTCCTACGGGATTAAATGTGATATCTCTATCAAATTGCATGGCTATTGGTTTCCCCTGGTTCTGCAAGATTGCTTTTTCAAGCTTTATATTTTTTGCTTTTCCTCGAGCTTTCCTTCGGGCACGTCCCTCAACTACAAATGTAATTAAAAATTATTAGAAACGACATTTAATTTATGATAATTGAACAAAAATAGTAAATAAAAATTCATGATAAGACTTACCGTCCTGCTCGTGCTGGCCAGGACCTCTACCACCTGGGAAAGGTGGGTCCTCAGCTCCGTCTCCCCCATGTCCACGACCCATGACAGCAGCCATGGTAAACATAAACAACAGCCACACTCTCATCATTTCCTGAAAAATTATAAGATATACAAATACAATTTTTATTATAGATACACATTACATAGGAATAAACATTTAGATAGGAATAAACATTTCCATTTAAACTAGAAATCCAAATACAGTTCATATTATAAACACATATTACAAATACATATTACATAAGAACTATTCTAATCAGAATCTTTCTCATATCCTTCAGTGTCTTCTTCGGTATCATAGTCAGAATCGGTGTCATCGTAATCAGTATCGCAATCAGAAACATCATTGACTCTACCAGTTGGCGGAGGAACTTCAGATGCACTTTCTACATCAACAATGACTCTAGGAATGTTTTGAAAGTACATGCTGAAATCGATAAAAAGTGGAGCATCGGATGAAGAGATATTTTGAAGTACATCGACATCGTCTACATTTTCGTGTGAGACATTGTCAACATTTTGAACAAGGTCATCGTTCGATGGTAGATCCCAAATACTTCGATGATTAACATGCTCGACAACACACCGATGGTTATTGTTTGGCTCTCTGATGTAGAACACTTGTTTGGCTTGTGACGCATATATGAGTTGATCATCTTTGTATGCTTCGCGTCGTGTGTCGATACTGGTGAAACTATCACTAGAAATAACTCCTATTCGAGTATCAAACCACTTGCAACGAAATAGTACAGTTGAATAATCATGTGTATACCTCAACTCTATAATCTCTTCTAACTGACCATAATACTTCTCGCCTTTCTCACCCACCGCTAAAACCCCAGAGTTTTGTGTTGTACGTTGTGTGTCACGACTAAGTACCATAAACCTAACACCATTGACTATGCATGCGGTGTAAGAATAGGCATTCATTTGCGGGCCCATTGCAAGAACCGACAACTCTTCGTGGAATTCTGGAGATTTTTCTATTTTCATTTGATGAACCTAACAATTATAAATTAATATGTATTATGTATTCGTTAGATCAATGAAAAAAATTTGTTTATTAATTTATATTACCTTTTCACGAAACCAATTACGAAATTCTCTCTTTTCATCACTTTGGGGATGCTCAGATTTG